ACCGACCAGTCTACCAGTCAACCGGACAGTCACCCATCCAGGTAGTGTCGTGCTGGTGAACTTAAGGGCATGAAGATAGTGATGGGGTGGTGACACAGACACTATTGACGGCATACGAATAATTGGTTTATTGACTCCCCTACCACGACACCTACCACTACCACCACTACACCTACCACTACTATCCCACTACCAGCCACTACCACCACCACCTACTACCACACCTACCACCACCACTACTACCCACTACCACGACGACACCTACCACCACTATCACCACTACCACGACACCTACCACCACTACCACCACTACTACCACCACTACCACCACCACTACAGTACCACTACTACTACCACACAATCACCACCTACCACCACCACACACCACCACCACCACACCACCACTACCAACACCACTACTACCACTACTACTATCACCACTACCACCACCACTACTACCACTACTACTATCCCTTCTACCACCACTACCACTACCACCACCACTACTATCACCACTACCATGCCTGTCCCTACCACCACCACCACACAACGACACACCACTACCACCACCACTACCCACCCTACTACCACATCTACCACCACTACCAACACCTACCACCACTACTATCACCGCCACCACCACCACCACCATCACCACTACGACACCTACCACCACCACCACCACCACCACCCACCACTCTGCGACATCTACCACTACAACACCACCACCACTACTACCGCCACCACCACCCACCACCTACCACCACCACTACTACCACGATACCACCACCACTACTACCACCGCCACCACCACCACCACTACTACTACCACGACACCTACCACTACCACCACCACTACTACGACACACCACCACTACCACGACTACACACCACTACTACCCACTCCTACCTACCACTACCACCACCACTACCCACCACTACTACTACCACCACCACTACAGCACCTACCACTACCACCACCTACTGACACCACTACCACTACTACACCACCACTACACGACACCTACAACCACTACCACTACTACTACACACAACACCTACCACCACTACCACTACTACCACCACCACTACCATGACACCAACCACCACGACACCAACCACCACTACCACGACACCAACCACCACTACCATCACTACTACTACCACCACCACCACCACCACCACTACCACTCTACCACTACTACCACCACCACCTACTACCACCGCCACCACCACCACCACCATGACCACTACTACCACCGCCACCACCACCACTCCTACCCTTCCACCACCACTACAAGCTAAATTTTCCGATTAGCTGAATATATACAAGTTTATTTAACCCATTCCTGCTACTGACTTGGCCCAGCCAAAGCAACATGGGTCAACATTGCTCTGAGACTCTACTATACGTGATGTCACTGTCTTGTGTGTGTGTGTGTGTGTGTGTGTGTGTGTGTGTGTGTGTGTGTGTGTGTGTGTGTGTGTGTGTGTGTGTGTGTCCATCTGTCTGTCTCTCCCTTTTTCTTATGTTATTCCCTATTTCCCCTTTTCATTCTTTCTCTCCTTTTCTTTCATTTATTTCTCGGTCTATATCTCTTGTTGCGTTTTCTTGTTCTCTCTCTCTCTCTCTCTCTCTCTCTCTCTCTCTCTCTCTCTCTCTCTCTCTATCCACCCCACGTGTAGGTCTGCGCCATATACCAGAATATAAAAGGTATTTTGGTTCTTCTAGGACATATATCTCTACCATTATGACTTGTCACCATTACCTTCTGTAGTATCTACGCCTCTATCTGGCCTTTTTTGCTCGTAATAGCATCATCTGGCAGGATATCTGGCGTATTGACGTTATTTAGAGATATTGGTGCGTTATGGTATAAGTATTAGCGTTATTGGGAAAGTTGGCTATATATAAACACAAACTTAAATAATGGTTTGCACCTCGTGTAGCAAGGAAATGCCATGAGGAGCCACCTTGGTGTGGAAGCTGTCGCACTCAACAACCACACCCTGAGTTAACGAGCTGCATGACCCAGTGTCAAGGAATAGTCCGAGAGGCCGGACAACTCGCCAACTGCATTGGCTAACCATTACCCCGGAACATGATCCGCAAATCGATTAACATCCAGGATCCCAGTACTGCTGGGTAGACAAATGGCGTAAAGAAACTTGCCCAGAGTTTCACCCTGCCCGGGGATCGAACCTGGGTCCGCTCACTTTGCGAGGCGAGCATGCGACCATTACACCACAGGTCGCCATATACACACACATATACAGGGTGTCCCATAAATTTCCATACATAGGAAAAATAAATTTTATATGAAAATCCATTTTTATTTATATAATATGCTCTACATGACTACCATTCTGTTGAAAACACTCTTCAATGCGTGTCCTCCACTGCTGAAGAACACGTTCAAGCACAGCTGGAGTTATGCTTGTAATGGCGTTGGTGATACGTTGTATGGAAACTTATGGGACACCCTGTATATATACACACACACACACACACAGACACACATAATTATAGTAAAACAAATCTAGTACTACCAGCACGACCCTCCCTCACCACCCCTTCCCTCCCTCACCACCCCCTTCCCTCCCTCACCACCCCTTCCCTCCCTCACCACCACCCCTTCCCTCCTCACACCCCCTTCCCTCCTCACACCACCCCCTTCCCTCCCACCCCCCCGACCCTTCCTGACCTCACCAGGTGTTTCCAACACACATGTTAGTGTAGTGAAAATACCATCGGGAATCCTTCCCCCTCCCTCCTTCCCTCACCCTCCCTCCCCCTCCCCCTTCCACTCACTCGATACATAAACGTAGCAACGGAAACTTGAGTAGATAATATTAACATAATTAACAAAGAGCCAATAGAGAAATAATAAAATTAACACCACCACCACCACCACTATCACTACCACCACCACCACCAACAACAACAACAACAATAACAATGACAATAATGATATACCAAATGTTTTTGTTCCCCTCGAAGAATCATTTCAATTCTTATCATCCACGAATACTCCTCAATTGTCTATTATTATTATGCAAATGAGGGTGAGATATGTAACCCACTTGTATGGTAAACTAGACAATATTTCAGCCTCGCCATTCATTGTATTGATGATGAATGGACGCTGATAAGTTAGTCTGTGTGAAAGAATATTACAATATAATTTAATAACAATTGTAGTGGTGATATTGGAGGTAATATATCTTTATTTTCAAGACGTGTGTTGATAATAATAATAATGATGATGATAACAATAATAATAATAATAATAATAATAATAATAATAATAATAATAATAATAATAATAATAATAACAACAATAATATTATTTCACAGCCAAAATTAATCCCCAAGAACTATATTCAAATCTTATCCATAAAATAATTCTCTTTTAAGAAAATAAAAAAAATATATCCTGAAAAAATTCCAAACCAGAATTGCGTAAGATCGAACACACACACACACACACACACACACACACACACACACACATTTATAAAACTATTACGTGTATGTGTATATGTGTGTGTGTGTGTGTGTGAATCTTTATCTTGTGTTATCCCGTATGTTATTGTGAGTTTTATAAATTACTGACTTTATCTGATATATAAACAAGTGTTAGAATTTACGTGGAACTGAGAATATGATACGAGGTGCAATTGCAGATTTCTTTTTCTTCCTTGTCTTCCTTAAGCCTTGTGTGTGCTTCTTCTGTTTGCTTAGGTATCTGTTTTGTCACTCTATTTGAATTATCTGTTTATTTAGTTTTCTATTTTCCTTCTAATTTGCTTATTTATCTGTATATTTATCTGGTGTATTGTAATTTCGTTTCGTTTTTCTATTATGTAAAAAATTTATTGTTGTTGAGAATTTATTTATTTTTAGATTTTTTTTTAAATGTTACTGTATTAATTTTTTTTTTATTATTTGGGTTTTTTTTGGGGGGGGGGGGTTTATTTAAATTCTTGTAACCTAATTTTGTTTTATTTATGTTTTAATTGATCTGTTTCTTAATTAATGTTTCTCTTATGTAAAATTTAGTGCTAATCTATATATCTATTTTTTATTCCTTTATGTTGGATAATGTTTAAAGAGATTAATGATTTTATTTATTATTTTTCATTCATTATATTATTCAACTATAAATTTTAGTCATTTGTTTACGATAATTAACATCAGATTATTTCTTTTCATAAATTTCCCGATTTTCTATAAAAAAATAGAATTGTGAAAAAAATCTTATATATTTAGATAAAAAATTAACGATTCTGTGATCATTAATCTAGCGATAACACACTGATCAACATCATGTAATCCAACTAACTTAGATAATGATTTAATGAAAGTTAATACATATTTCAGATTTATAAGTTCCGTAATTTTTCAGTTCTTGGTGAATAGATGTAAATACTAATTACCTGATGTGTTTTATGACCTTAATTATTGAAGCGCATTAATAATATGAACCTTAAAATTATGGAAAACCAACGTATATATATATATTTCAGGTAAATTAATTTATAACACAAAAAAAAACCATCATTAATATGTGTTGATAATGATTAAAATGAAACGGACAGAACAATATTTCACTTTCTATTTAAAAACTATCACACGATATAGCGGTAAAACCCGGCATGGCAAATCATATGATAATACTATTTTTTCTAAGTCACTTCCGTATGAATTGTGTTCGTGGAGATATTTTTCCCCCCTTTCCTATCATTCGTTTTGGGATTTCCACTACTAAGTAAACACAGCCGCCCCAGTCCTTGTGTTGACGTCATTGTGAAGATCTATTTCATACACACATATCCCTAAGTCAATTCCTATACATTACAACGGTCAGTTACTCCATGTATAGGTGATTTATCTTCATTTTTATCTATTCTTGTTTATTAATTCTTTCTCGAGCTGTTATTCCTGTCACTAACTTCTGATTGATTATGTAATGTCAACGAGAATATTTCCCACTTACCCTTAACCCACTCTCCGGGTCCTGATTGGCTCCGGTAATGTAAACAAAGATGATGATTGGTTTTAATGATTCCCACTCAACTGCTAGCCCACTCCGCGAACTCTGATTGGCTCCTGCAATATCAACAGAGACGATGATTGGTGGTGGGTGGTGGGTAAAGCCATATTACTCAGGTGACGCACTTAATTCCTAAACACATTTGTGGTCAGTGTTCAACTTGAGTTCAATCCTCCGTACCCACACACACACACACACACACACACAACACACACACCACCACACACACACACACACACACACACACACACACACACACACACACACACACACACACACACCACACACACACCACCACACACACACACACACACACACACACACACACACACACACACACACACACACACACACACACACACACAACACACACACACAAACACACACAAATACACACACACACACACACAACACACACACACACACACAACACACACACACACACACACACACACACTTCCTGGATCATATCTACGGTTTCTCCTGATGCTTTAACATTAAGATAAGCTTAATTAACAGTACAGAAGTTATTTTTTTCTTATTATTTTTGGCATTTATTAAAGTTTGCCGTGTTTATGACTCCGCAAACACGTGCAAACACACACACACTAGAGTATATATATACCATTAATCGTCTTATTGCTTTCTGTTGTGAATTATAAGCTGACGAATATCTAGAAACCTATAACAAAAAATCGAGAGAGAGAGAGAGAGAGAGAGAGAGAGAGAGAGAGAGAGAGAGCTATAATTCTCAATGTACACCTCAGCGTGCAAAGATATTCTGATAGATATGCAAATTGAAGCCCCTGGCCTCGAGGTGGACTTCATCAGGATCTGACTCTGAAGTAACTGTGGCGATCGTGCGTCAGGCGTAATAACGACTTTCTCTATATGGGCACGGATTCCCCGGGGGGGTGGCTGTACGGTAAAATTCACAGTCCCCCTCCCCTTTCTCTCCCCTCCCCTTTCTTCCTCCTCCCTTTCTTCCCCCTCCCCTTATTGTGTGACATGTAGCTGAGAATGAGTGAGATGATTGATATGAATGTGTATATTATGAGGTGACGTTCTCTCTCTCTCTCACACACAGCGGCTCCTCAAGAACACAATTGATTCAGAATAAAACTTGACTGGAGTCGGTAAATATATGCAAATTAGATGAACTTCCGGTTAAAATGTCTAAATTAACTTACGGGTAATAGTTTCCTCCTCTCCTCACCTCACCTCACCTCACCTCACCTCAGCAGGGTATGAAGACAGAGCTGATCACTTCTATCACAATAACCTATCAACAACATCCGGTATTTATTGTTTCATTCGTTATTTGATATTGTAGTGTGTTCTCAACCCTGCGTATGATGTGTCGGATTCGTGTATGGGGTGTGTTCGAACCCTGCGTAGCGATGTGTCGGATTCGTGTATGGTGTGTTCGAACCCTGCGCATGTGTCGGATCTGTGTATGGGGTGTGTTCGAACCCCCGCATGATGTGTCGCATCTGTGACGATGTGTCTGAACCCCAAATATTATGCCGATCTGTGGGGTGTGTTCGAACTCTGCGTATGATGTGTCGGATTCGTGTATGGGGTGTGTTCGAACTCTGCGTATGATGTGTCGGATTCGTGTATGGGGTGTATTCGAAGCCTGGATATAATGTGTGTTATTTATTTATTTATTCATTTATTTACGGGGATTAATCCACCCAAGCACAGATCACCAACCCACATCGACCTGGGGGGAGGAGAGGAGGGAGGGGTAGAAGGAGGGGAGGGTAGAAGGGGGGTAATACACAAATGAAGAAAATAAAACATACAGATTAAGAGTGAGAAACGATATGTATGTTGTATTGGTCAAAATAAAACAATTGACAACCCCCCAAAAAAAAAAAAATATATATATTATGTTAAGTCAAATATAAGATTATACATTAAACTCGTTATACATTACAATTGTTATACACTACACCAGCATTCCTATTTTATGGTTCATTATTCACTTTACCTGTGAACACAAACTTGACAACATACGTAGAGTCAACCATAAATGTCAACATCATATTATTATTCTATATAATGATTTAATAGATATTTATCACAGATCTGAATACATTCACGTCATTAGGTTAGATTTTTTAACTCCCATTTTGGTTGATTCTTGCATCGATTCTCCTCTGTTATTTCGAGATATGGATTCGAAAAAATGTTAGGATTCAAAGCTGTTGTTTTCTTTTTAGCTAGCGTGTGTCTGGGCTTCGACTCTGATAGTTTGAGATACTGGTTCGAATAATCTCGCAAGGTGGGATTATGAAGCCTTAGGAACATTCGAATCCTTGGTTTATTAGATCCTGGGGTCCACATCTGAGGCCTCGAGACACTCACTCAAATAGTACGGAAGTGAGATTCGAATCACGAGCGTCAGGAAGCAATACCAGACTGCTTCGAATATTACTGAGAGAGAGAGAGAGAGAGAGAGAGAGAGAGAGAGAGAGAGAGAGAGAGAGAGAGAGAGAGAGCTAACTGCTGGACAAAGCAAGGTACAAAAACTAGACTCGTTTAAGACAGTCTGAGTATCAACACCTGCAGTCACCTGGCATCCGTACCTGGTAATGAGGTGTTAATTAGGCCAGCTCTCTCTCTCTCTCTCTCTCTCTCTCTCTCTCTCTTTATCTATCCGTCTCTTCTGCTTTACTCTTTATAAAAATGTCTGTCTCATAAATATATTTCTCTCTCTTTAAATCTGCGTGTCTGAGTCTATTGCGTTTCTTTCTTTCTCATTATATATTTCTCAGTCTCTTAAATGTTTATCTCTCTGTGTATGGCAGCGAGATGTAGCAATGACTTAACTCTTACTAACGTCCACAGTAGATAAAAAAAAAATCTTTGCTTGTAAATTTGACACACAGAAAATATTTTTATTTTATCAATGAAATTACCTTAATTTTTACGATTCTCACCTACCGGTACGTGAGTTGTATTTATGGTAAAGTGCCTTAGCTACCGTCTTATAAACCAACGTCTGGTTAGTAAATTTACCCGTCAAAAATACAGAGTTTCGTCAGATATTAATAAGTGTTCATAAGACAAAGTGTTAAGTGTGTGGGGGTTACTAATTATCGTATGGGTTATAGTATTTACCTAAGAGGGACCTGAAGGTGAGCTAACATACACCGTTAAACCTTTTGTTCCCAAATTCATGTAAAATCTTTTGATAATATACCAAAAACTAGATCCAGGGTCGTAATATATCCTGGCCGTTACTGCACCTAAAACTAAGACCTAGTGAACGGTGCTTAATAACCCTGGTGGTAGTTGAAGCACCTCAAACTAAGACCTAGTGAACGGTGCTTAATAATCCTGGTGGTAGATGAAGCACCTCAAACTAAGACCTAGTGAACGGTGCTTAATAACCCTGGTGGTAGTTGAAGCACCTAAAACTAAGACCTAGTGAACGGTGCTTAATAACCCTGGTGGTAGTTGAAGCACCTCAAACTAAGACCTAGTGAACGGTGCTTAATAACCCTGGTGGTAGTTGAAGCACCTCAAACTAAGACCTAGTGAACGGTGCTTAATAACCCTGGTGGTAGTTGAAGCACCCAAACTAAGACCCAGTGAACGGTGCAATTAACCCTGGTGGTAGTTGGAAGCACCTCAAACTAAGACCTAGTGAACGGTGCTTAATAACCCTGGTGGTAGTTGAAGCACCTCAAACTAAGACCTAGTGAACGGTGCTTAATAACCCTGGTGGTAGTTGAAGCACCTCAAACTAAGACCTAGTGAACGGTGCTTAATAACCCTGGTGAGGTAGCTAACCCTCAAACTAAGATCAGTGAACGGTGCTTAAATAACCCTGGTAGTTGAAGCACCTAAAACTAAGACCTATTGAACGGTGCTTAAATAACCCTGGTGGTAGTTGAAGCACCTAAAACTAAGACCTATTGAACGATGCTTAAATAACCCTGGTGGTAGTTGAAGCACCTCAACTAAGACCTAGTGAACGGTGCTAATAACCCTGGTGGTAATGAAGCACCTCAAACCTAAGACCTCAGTGAACGGTGCTTAATAACCCTGGTGTAGTTGAAGCACCTCAAACTAAGACCTAGTGAACGGTGCTAATAACCCTGGTAGTTGAAGCACCCTAAAACTAAGACCCAGTGAACGTGCTTATAACCCTGGTGGTAGTTGAAGCACCTAAAACTAAGACCTAGTGAACGGTGCTTAATAACCCTGGAGGGTAGTTGAAGCACCTCAAACTAAGACCTAGTGAACGGTGCTTAAATAACCCTGGTAGTTAGCACCTAAAACTAAGACCTATTGAACGGTGCTTAACAACCCTGGTGGTAGTGAAGCACCTAAACGACCTATTGAACGATGCTTAAATAACCCTGGTGGTAGTTGAAGCACCCTCAAACTAAGACCTAGTGAACGGTGCTAATAACCCCAGGGGTAATTGAAGCACCTCAAACTAAGACCTAGTGAACGGTGCTTAATAACCCTGGTAGTTGAAGCACCTCAAACTAAGACCTAGTGAACGGTGCTTAATAACCCTGGTAGTAGTTGAAGCACCCCAAAACTAAGACCTAGTGAACGGTGCTCATAACCCGTGGTAGTTGAAGCACCTAAAACTAAGACCTAGTGAACGGTGCTAAAACACCTGGTGTAGGAAGCACCTCAAACTAAGACCTAGTGAACGGTGCATAAATAACCCTGGTGTAGTTGAAGCACCTCAAACTAAGACCTAGTGAACGGTGCCAATAACCCTGGTGGTAGTTGAAGCACCTAAAACTAAGACCTAGTGAACGGTGCTTAAATAACCCAGGTGAAGCACCTAAAACTAAGACCTAGTGAACGGTGCTAAATAACCCTGGTGGTGGAGTTGAAGCACCTCAAACTAAGACCTAGTGAACGGTGCTTAAATAACCCTGAGTAGTTGAAGCACCAAAACTAAGACCTAGTGAACGGTGTTAATAACCCTGGTGGAAGCTGGCACCTCAACTAAGACCTAGTGAACGGTGCTAAATAACCCCTGGTAGTTGAAGCACCCAAAACTAAGACCTAGTGAACGGTGTTAAATAACCCT